CAATGCATTGTGGAAGTAAGGTGAGGACGGTAATGAGGGAGCAATGTTCCAGCTAATAGGGGAACCGCATGATGTTCTTAGATTTGTATTCTTAAAGAAATTTAGATGATATTAGTATCATCTACGACAGTATTTTGGGTTTGCATTTGAAAATAATCCAACTTGAAATCAAGAAAACAAATGAGAGAAGATAATTATGTAAAATAATTTTTTCTGCTCTGCCTATTCCTGAAGACACGCATTGTAATCAGTCAATAACAGTCACGTTTTACTTATGTGTACTAACGTCCCATCTAAAGTGCTCCTAGGTGCTTCATACTACAGAAATCAGGTTAAGCTCCTGCCGCATGGGCCTCCTTGGCTCGTATGCTCCTTCACCTTTTTAACTAATTAGTAATTATTCATTTCATGCTTTCTTATTGCATAGACTCGTCAGAATTCGGAGGGTGCAGGTTGTGTCTGATATGATTGAAGTGTTTAAGGATCCATCACTTATGGCAGCTCAACTAAAAGTGCACATGCACATGGCCAAGAAGAAGTCGGAGCAGATGAAAATGGAGTTTTCAGGGACGCACTGTCAGCGTTCTAGACAGCATTTGAGAATTCCTGCACAGTTGGAGAAGATAAACGACATGACTTTCAAACTCCAGAGAGAGAAGCCATTGCTAGACTCCTTGAATTGTAAAGTTAAATAGGGCATTCCTGATTGCTACACTTTTTGAGGAAAGCGAGGTGACACAGCAAGTGCTACTCGATTCTTTCTTAGCCTATTTGTCTAGGGATAAAAGGGCTTTGGTTGTGCATGCTTTTGAATTAACGGTTCTTTGGATGAACACAATGACGAGTGGCTTGATTTCTTATATAGATTCGAATATAAGCGAGCTCCAAAGCCTGAGCAGGGATACAATTTTAGAAATCGCTCACAAAGAGCGAATACAAGCTTGTCAATACATTATTGACATGACATGAGCCATAACGTAAACTAAAGACAGCCACCCTTAACTCCACGGAAAACTTATAAATTTATTAACTAGAGCCATTCCAACAAACAAAACTGATGAGGTGATCGATCTCCTTGAAGTTATCCCACAACCGCAAAATTTTGCCTGGAGAAAATGTCATATTCTACTTTAAAAATTACCTGAGAGAACTAGATATTGAGAGACTGACACCATATGTTTGGACAAAATTAAGGTTACTTTCACTAGTCTAGATGGCTTTGAGAGGCGTCCCACTGCTCATGCGTGGGCACCATCGGTATCTTTAGAGTTGCCCTCAACATACTAAAACTTTGCAGACTTGAGACAAGAAATGAACAGCATCATCGACAGTGAATTCTGGGAAATGAACATTGCTTAAAACTGCTCTTTACATGTTCTTCTAGTTGTTCCAGTTAAAAAAACTGTATGTATAATGTTTGGCCCTAGTAGGACACTCCCACTTTAATGACACTGCTTTTCAGATTCCCTTTCTCGTTCAAACTATAATTAATAACGAACATATTATTGACAACAAAATATTTTTCCTTCATGGCAATGTTATTGTATTCGCAAGATGACTCCACAAAGGAAATTTATGTCTACACCGTCAGGATCAAGAATTTTTAGGAGGTTCCTGAGAGTATCTTTGTCAACACAAAGGCCGTAGACCCGTGAGTCTTTGGATCATTTACACAATTCCATCTTTATGCATCCACCAACCTCTCGGAGACTACTACGATTTTTCCGTCGCCCAAGACCACGAGACTTTAAAATTCTCTTCAATTGGCGCATACTAAAGTAAAACCCGTGGGTTAAAATAAGAAGCAAGATTTCTTTGTAATGCATTCCCAAATGAAAATAACTCTCAGTGATATCTTGCCTTGTTGTAAGATAGGCAAGTATGAAGGTAAAACTACCCGACACTATGACACATTTATAATAATAATAATAATAATAATAATAATAATAATATTAATTAATATCTATATTGCGTATTTCCATGAAAAATAATAAATGCTCATTAAAACATTTCCAGTGACAAATATAATAGTGATAAAACTAAAACCAAGAATCAAACTCGCCATCTCTAAGTCTTTCCATTCCTTCTCACTACGCGGGAATAAGGATGCAATTTATGATCAGTGTTTGAAAAAGTCGCGAAAGAAGTCGCGAAAAGAGTAGAGAAAAAAATTGAGGAAAAAAAATCGTACATAAATTTTGCATGGCACCAATCGGGCTCCGGAGACAACAGCAAAAATGATAATAACTTAAACAAAAACCGGAGAATCATCGTACACTTTTGGTGACTCCTTGGGAGATGATGAGTTGCTAGCTCTAGCTAATCCAATATCTTCACGGCATGTTTGTGACACGTGTTAGCTACGTGATATTGAAATTGTTAGGTGAGAGTCCCTACATTTTCGATCTCATAACTCAGTGTTTTACTAGAGATCTGAGCTAGCTGACCTCCAATAACATAATTTATTTCAATAATTGTCACAGAGTTTCGTTTTATAAATTTTTTTATTATAATCTGATAGTGTTGGAAAAAAGTATCAGTAAGTACACTTTCAGTAATAGTGAACTGCAATACAAAAACAGTACATCAAAGCTAGCACAGGAGAGGTAAGTAAAAATTGAAGGTAACATTCTTGATATTTTTAAAGATATTAGGCAAATGGCAACTATTTACACTAGACAACTAAAAGAAAAATTTCTGTAACTCTGAATAGGAAAATGTATCAAGCTGCAAGTTACCCTCATCCTCATGGTGTTTATCTGAGGGAGTTATTGCATTGTTGCACTCAGAGATCTGATAGAGTTCCTCTAATTTGCCTCTTACTTAAACTTAATATGGATATTTTGTCTTTAATCCTTCTAATTAAATGTAAAATTTGCAAAGTTAATACAGTATATACAAATTATAGCAACAAAAATATTTATAAAGCAGCTGTTATTGAGTGTTTTAAAACAAAACACATTTCAAGGCTATTAGAAAAGATTTAACATGATCATTGAGAAATGTGGTTCAAGTTCAAGGAATGGAAAACAAAAGAAGTTGATTTAATAATTATGTACATTGAACTAAGTACCTCTCCAGGACTGATTGTATTTAGAAAGTTACTTTGTCATGTAATGAGATTGTGAAGCACAGGCTCTTAGAGCCATTAAATTAACACTAATCAGTAATAAAGTGAAACAATTCCCTTTTAAAAATACATGAAATGTAACATGTGTCATTTTCTAATCAGTTTTAGCACTTATGTCTACAGATAACAAAAAGGCTGATTAATTCGCTGAGAAAATTTTGAGTTCTTTACACTAGGCAAAAAAGAATACTAAGAGTGTGATTTATAGAAAGTGTAGAGCTCTGTTCTAAAACATCATTCCATTCATTGTCATTTCTTTGGTGGCAGGAAGTGTTGACAAGTCCAAGTCATTGAAGTAAGGATGATCCAAAGCTGCTTTGGCTGATATTCTTTTAGCAGGATCATATTTGAGCATTTTCTAAATCAAAAAAGGAAAATAAACACTCTGGCTTTAAAAGTAAACTTTAAGACTGTGTTATCAGTGGTCTAATGGGGTTTTAAGGCCTTTTGTCTTTTGAGATTTCATAAATAAGACTTGTAGGGCTATAATGTAGCCACAGGCAGCAATCCAACCAATTAGTGAAAAAAGCTATTGAAGACACAATTGATACCTCAAAGCCTCATTATAATAAGCTGTATTGCACATTCCATTAGCATATATTTTTTAGCAACAAAAATAAGCTTACACTGAAAGTTTACTACTTTGTTCCCTAAACAGGCAGAATTTTACTAGTTTTTTGAGTAAATTTCTGATTACTTTTGAGCAAGTAAGTTTCTGTCTTCAACTAACTTTTCCTCGTTGATTCAACAAAAAATCTTTCACTAATAATACTATGGTGGAATATACCAGACCTGGAGGGTGAATAATCATAAGAGATGTTTAATCTATTGTCATACTTTCCCGTGGCAAAAAAAAAAAATTGACCACCAGAGCATGCAATTACTGAATAGGATTTAAAGAATGCAAGAGCTGAAACAATGATGAATGTGGTAAGCCAAAGTAATAAGGAAGATGTACCTCTAAAAGATCAAGCCCATTATTATCCAACTGTGGTACTACTTTCCTTAGTCCTTCTCCACTCCATTTAGGAAAGTTTGGTTTGTAATCAGGAAGTTGTAATACTCCAGGCCAGTTCTGCTCTGTTGGTGTACCTAGGATTCTTTGAGAAACAAGTGACACAGTCTGTAAGAATCACAGGGCTCAGAACAATTTAGGAACAGCTACACTCATGTTGGCCATCTGAAGATGCTTTAGCATAGTAATGTAAGAGACCATTTAGAATGACACGCAAACCAAAGACTAGCACATTTAGGTCAAATCTCTTCTGGTGGCAAAGTGTTTGTAATGCAGCTGTTGTTTTTAGCCTCAGAAAATATGTGTACTTATAGTATATGATACATAAAAATACAGGTGGTATAACCATATAACCATACAGTAACTATGAAATAAGCATGATGAAAGCCTGTCTTATCAACAGTTGAAACTTTTCTCAGTGTTTTTGAGCGATTCTGATTCTGTGAAGCCTTTGAGTGAAGGAGCCAATTTTGTAGCAGAGTATCATGCAGATAGAGGCTGGGGAATTTAAAATAATGGATTTCAGGGAACTGCATACAAACCTGAAAATACGGAAAAGTTGATCAATTTCTGAATCACCATGAAACAATGGTTTCTTTGTAACCATCTCTGCAAATATACATCCTACACTCCAGATGTCAATTGGACATGCATACCGCTGGCCTCCCAAGAGAACCTCAGGTGCACGATACCACAGAGTTACCACCTAACATAAAAAATATTTTAAGCAAATTTTTCAAAAGAAAAAAAATTCATAAATAACTATGTTCCACATGCAAAGCAAATCACAAAAAATCTTGAAAACATAAATTCAAATGAATACCACTTTGAGACCAGCCTATATTTTAATATACATTTTGGTAAAAAGTTGGCCAAGACAGGGTTCAAAATAAACAGAGATGGTCAGCAATGGTTTGTAAGGTAAGCATAGAGAAGACATAAATGCTACAGTTGAACTTTAGATCACAAATGCCTCATATCATTGTCTGTGATAAGAAGAAATATGATTTATATCCATCAAGTAAAATTTCAACATATTCTGCCCAGGGAAAAGGTGAATTATCTCATAGTTATTAAAAAACTAGCAGAAGGTTTTGAAGTCAATGAGTCCTTTTTGCACTGTTGTTTTTCCTATTTATCTACTTATGTACTAAAAACTTACCAACAGTTAAATTTAACATAAACATTATTACAAAATCATTCTAAACAAAAACTTATTGAACAGGTTATTTTATCAAAGTATAGCTGTTATTTGATAAAACCACCTTCTAGGCAAACAGCATCAAGAGGGCTGAAAGCTAACAGTGGAAGGACAATTGTTTTAGAGGAGAATCACTGAGGTCAACTGTTAACCCTTTAACTCCCACAAGTGACCAAGACAGAATTTCTCCTTACAATATCAACACAATATCAACCAGATAAGTGATAAGAATAAAGAAAAATATCAATTTGGGGATAATTAGTTAATCCAATACTAAATTCTCTGAACTAACATCATATAAATTGTGTAGTTGACAGTAAGGTGAATAAAAAATTTGATCTGGGAGTTGAAGGGTTAACGTAAAACCATGATTTGGGATAGACCTTGTGTAAATAACTGGCTGCTGGAGTTCTATGGGTTCAGAAAACCCCATTTTTATGATGATTTTCTAAAGGGTTTGAAATTGTGTTGTTTTTCTCTTACTAGTACATGTACATGAAGTCTGTGCTCCAAAGACAACAACTGCAAGATTACATACAAAGTTGACTATTCCTACCTCATGAGTGTAAGCTCTTACAGGGATTCCAAACCCCCTCCCAAGGCCAAAATCAGCTAACTTGATGAGCCCATGCTCATCAATCAAAAGGTTCTGGGGTTTCAGATCACGATGCAAGATTCGGCGACTGTGGCAAAAGTAGAGGGCATTTGTGATTTGGTAAAGGTAGCTCTGTAGGAAAATCAACGTCAGATATTAATTTATTTTACACATGTCACATCAAATGTCTTTATTCTTCAATGTACCGGTACACTCCTGTAAATCAAGTCACCTCACCAGTCCAACATTTCACAATATTAGAAAAATAACACAAGTTGCACATTAGATCACTCATTTGTTCTCTCTTATCATACATTCCATCTTAGAAAATTATTTTCATTGGTTTCATCATTGCACCCAATTAAATTTTGAATTTTTCATTTTCTGCTATTGCAAGTTTTAATTTGACCATCATCTTTACAGACAAAAACTTGAAATTAATTTGACTTCAGCAATGTTGACTTGAATGCTACCATCATCTAGCACTAGCGCCATTCAAACCAGCTTGTGACTGAACTGGCCAGCATGAGTAAATATTACCAATAAATAAAGCAGTCCCTACTGATGTTGTTAACTTTATTTTGGGAACTCTTATGCACTTGTACTCATATAAAGGCCATCTAAGAATGCACTGAAGGCCCATTGCCTCTATTAGTGAAACAACAATTGTCAGTTTCAGCTGAATGATACATGCATATTTGGTACTGAAAACTATCATAAGCATACCTTGATTAACATATGGTCTAGCGATCCTTTTGTTGAGTCCAGGTGCTTCTTAAGATCACACAGTAGAAATTCAAACACCAAATATAGTTTAGAATCTTCATGTAGAACATTTTCTAGATTGACAACATTGGGGTGTCCATTCAGTTCCTTTAACAATGAAATTTCACGCACTGCTGTGCTTGGAATTCCTTCATCAGCTAGCTCAAGTCTAATTTTCTTCAATGCAACCAGCTTGTTATTCCTGTTATTGCGGCCTTTGTACACAACACCATATGTGCCTATAATGAGAGAGTTTGCATGCAAGGTAAATTTCAAAATGACAACTGCGATATAAAAAAACTTAAATCTCATATGTTGCTATCAAAAAGAGTGCTCTCCTTTGAGGTGGGTCACGTCTACATGTAGATCAGTGATTACAATGTTGTAATTGCAACACATGGAATCAGGACAAGAATTCAAGCCCTGAGCGTATTATTTGGCTAACTTGATGCTTCTCCAGATCAGGCTACAGAAAAGCATACCAAAACCCCTCAATAAGTTTAAAAGTCACATCTTAGCCACAATAAAGCTAGATAAGCAAAAAAGTTTTCTTTAAGCATCATTTTGTAACTCCCGTTTAAACTTCTTTCATCAAACAGCTGTTTCATTACCTTCCCCAATCTTTTCTATCTTGGTAAATTCTGACATCTTCATTTCGTCAGTTTTGGATCCCATTCTCAATTGTGTTTTCGATTCCCTGAATTCAGAGAAACCTACCTACAAAACAAGATAACAAATCAGTAAAAACATACTTAAAACGGAATTACACATGCATCAATTTTTTTCAATCACTTAAAATCTAAAAAGAGGTCAAATCTAGGGTGAACTAACATCTAACAACTTCACAAATAATTGTTTTTTTGTCGTGCACATACAGTAAGGGTAACTTCACGTAGAGTGGTTTAATTCGACCGAAAGTATAACGCTTTTCGCCAGCCTCTGCAATAAATTGTGCGGTAAATATCGATTTCGGCTACAGCGTGTTTGCAATCTTGTTGAACGGCCATCCCTGTGGTAGATCACAAACATACGCAGTGTATGTATCAGCGTGATCTACAGCGTATTCGAACTTCAGCCATAAAACGTGCGCGCGACAAATTACAGTGTAGCTCCCCATCGCCGGAGCGGATACTATTTTTCCAAAAGACATACCGTTAAAAAGCAAAATTTGTTTTTTCTTGCAAAATCGATGCAACAGTCAATAAATGCTACTTTAAAAAATCTGAAATCTACATTTCAAAGAGTGCTAAAGTTGTATTCCTAAACTGTAGTTGCGAATAACTTTGTCAGAAGGGATAATACTAATCGAGCTTGCATGCATAGCTTAAAGGGTCTTCAATTCTAACGAGTGAACCTATACATCGAGAAATCGGAGTTTACGGTTGAAATTCGGCTGGTTGAAACGAAAGTCCACAAAAGGCGATGGTTAACGGAAAAAAATTAAATGCCATTTATCATTGGCGAAGGAGGTTCTCCTGATTTGAAATGAAAACTATAACGACCACCGACTGCAAGCCTTAGTTACGTAAAAGGTATGAATGATAAATCGTGGCAAAAAGAAGATAGTTAGATATTCAACTATAAAAGAGATGTTGACAAACCTTTACGAAGCGTTCCCAAGATGAAGGCCAAGTGCGTGCTTCCGCAGATTTGTATTTGAAAATAGCGGCGTTTGAATATTATTGACCAATGAGATCCCAGAATTTAAATTCTTTCTCAGGTCACCACGGACAGCTTCAAGGCAGACCATAATAAAACACCAGCTATAATTGGATGATAACTTAAAGCGTTGGACCAATCAAATTTGTTTTCATACCCCTCTCTCTTCTCTTCTTTCTTTTCAAAATGGAGGCTTTGTATGGGATACCCTTTCACATTTTAGAAGTCCCTAACCTCAAGTTGAAGAAGCCAGGATGGGTAAAACCACCATCGGCTATGGTGGTCTTCGCCTTTGTTCTCTTGTCGTATTTCTTGGTCACTGGAGGTAAATTGTCCGAATTAGTTTCTTGTTACATGCTTCGATCTCGAAAGGATCCAAAATCAAGCCAACCAGCAATGCAAAAAAAAAATTATCAAAGATAAGAGTCGATCATGATTTTAGATTCTAAAGTCAGAATTCTCCTCTAACTTTAAGCTTTCCTGCAAACTGCATGCTAATAGCAAGCTAAAGAAAATAACATGTGGGTTTGTTTACTAAAGTAGATCGGTCCCAACTAAGGGATACGTGGCACTCAAAAACGTGACATGTAATGTATCTCGGAACTAATGATCAAACAGTGCCCTGGGTCAGGCATCGAGAATGATCATTCACTTTAAAATCACGTGCATTGCCACATGGCGAGTATAACAAGACATATTTAATTGACAAAATGTGTTATTGATTCCTGTTTCCTTGCATACATGATCCTAGATGAAAAAAATTTTGACTAGATTTGTTAACATTTGATCGTAAAGTGCCTTAAAACTTCTCATGGATCTATGATGTTGTCTCCCAGGTATCATCTATGATGTGATTGTGGAACCACCCAGTGTGGGAAGCACAACAGATGAGTTTGGTCACAGTAAACCGGTTAGTACATGCCCTGAACACTGAGGTCAAACATAGGACATGTGTGTGAGGATTAATTTTAGGCTCCTGAGAACCAATATTCTGCACAAAATCTCTCAGTCTTGACAAATAAGCAATGAAAATTGAATCGTTCATAAAAATATGTTAAAGGAAAGAAAATTAGGGAAAAGGAACACTTTTGGACACAAAGCTTACCCAAATATGGGTATCCTGTTGATTTACCATTCTGTTTTGAGCTTTTCCCAAAAAGATATACATTTCTGAAGCACCCTGACTAACTGACTTGTGCAGTTATTTGTAACTTTTGTGAAACTACTTTGTTCTGACACCCTGAAAGCAGGCCACCTAGTCATTGCTACGTTCACACATGCACAGGTGCTTGACCACTGTGGTCATTTTCTGAAGCCTGCAAAACATTTTCCTGCTTCTCAGAAACCAAATGACTTGTAAAACAATAAGAAATTTTTTGTTTGCTTTTTCCTGTTTTTAATGGTAAATGAGCTTATCATAAACACTCATGGTCATTAAAGCAATTTCTTGTATTCCTTTTCCTTCCCAGGTTGCTTTCATGCCTTACCGTGTAAATGGTCAGTACATCATGGAAGGCCTGGCATCAAGTTTTTTGTTTTCAATGGGTGGATTAGGCTTCATTATCCTGGATAAATCAAATGCTGTTGGCATGTCTAAACTTAACAGATTTCTCTTGCTGTTCCTGGGCTTTGTCTGTGTCCTAGTGTCATTCTTTACATGCAGAGTTTTCATGAGAATGAAACTGCCGTGAGTATCACTTTTTTTTTTTTGCTTACTGCTAGATTTACTAGATTTACTGGTGAATGCATACTCCTTACTAACCCTATGTTCATGGTCCAGGGACCAGACTGTTTGTACCCCCCCCCCCCCCTCACTGCCACATAGAGGATTGATTGCTTAAAATTACGAAAGACAAAGTCAACAAGATATCTCTGCTTTGCATGACAAGTTTGGAAAACAATTTTTTAGTGATAAGGGACAGCTGTAATTGAATAACTCACATCAAGAGCAAATGGGGTCAATTTGAAATTTTTTGTTCAGGTTCAGCAAGTTGAGCAGTAAGGAAAATTAATGATTTAGCATTTCCTTTTTCCCACAAAAGTAAAAAACCTGCAGTAATAAATGAAAGATGTGGGAACAGTAAAATAGCTGAAAATTCTTGGTGGTGGTCACAGTTAAACCCAGGAAATTAACAATCCCAGCATACATGGCATCTGAGAGATGTAATAAAAATGATTGAAGTACAGAATTGTGATTAAACTCAGGCATCTAAGGTTTCTTTTTTTAAAAAAAAACAGTTTAACCTATGCTTCAAGATAAACTGTAGGTTTAACAAATGAAGTTAAATCTGAAGTGCATTTATATTGTAAAGGAATTTTACATGTATATCCTTATCACCTCTGGGATTGAGTAGATTATTAAGTGGGTATGCCTCCTTAGAGGAAGCATGTCAATGCTTTAATTGAAATCTAGTCATGGAAAATTGACTCAGACACACATAGTTTAAGGAAGCTACACAAAGCTAACTTTATGCCTTTTCATAAGTTAAAAGGTTCTTGTGTCCCTTCTTTGCTTTTTGGGGGTTGTGGATAGGGTAGTCTGACATCAATGCAGTTCTTGTGATGTTAGTTTGGAGAATTTGGTATTGGATCAACTTGTAATCTCCTGACTAATCTTTTTCTTTATTCTCATCATTTGTCTGCTTGATATTGTATCAATATTGTAAGGAGAAATTCTGTCTTGGTCACTCATGGGACCTAAAGGGTTAAAGGTGCATCCACAAGTACACTTTAATTAATTCCTATGTGGTTGTTAATTAATTAATAATTCCTATGTAGTAGTTGATCAAAGATGCATCCAACAGTACACAGTAGTTATTTCCTATGGCTTCATTTATCATTCATGAAGTTAAAAACATCCAGTGACAGAAGTCAAATTATACTTTGCACTAAAAAATATTTCTGAACAGTTTTTAATACTAACCTTCCTATTTATTACTCTAGGGGTTACATGCAAGTTTACTAAAAGAAGATCTCAAGAATCACACCATCCCTACTGGACAACAATAAAATTGTTTTGCATTAAGCTTAGCCTATATTCTCTTGTTAAATAAAACCATTTTATAAACAAGTTTTGTTTGTAGTCATCCAGTTTTATATTATAGTCTTATTAAACTTGGAGTTTCATCAGTCCATCAGCAAATTGGTGTTTGAAGGCATCAACACCATTTTGAGCTACCTTAGAGGCCATGTCAGATAACATGTCTGTTTATTCTAAGATGTGTAAGAAAGAAGCTTATCCTTATTTCTAATTTCATCAATGAGGTGGTGGATTCCCTTTTGTTGAATTGTAGTGGTGAATTTAGGATTTAAGTCTTACAAGCCAAGTACCTCTCACTTCCATCACCTACAGAAGGTCCCTTCCCACTGCAGTGAACGGGGATGCTGCCTCTCCCCTTGGGACGGGATACTGGTCCATCACAGGTTACCTCAGGCATTTTTTTAGATTTTCCCTAAACGTTTACCGGTACCAGTTTATACTCCTCGGTAGAATGGGGCTTTATGAGAGTGAATTGTCTTGCCCTAGAATACAATATAATCACCCAAGCAGAGCTCGAAGGCAGACCATTTCATCTAGAATCCAGCGCGCTACTTACAAGGCCATTGCGCCTTCTACTATGCACTTGATCTGATCCAACACCAATTTCATGAGGAACGATGTTTACAAGGGGTGAGATTTGGTAAAGATGCCCTGGAAAAAGTTAGAATGATGAATTGATAGGAGAAGGTACCTAGCTGCCAGTGCAGGAGAGCGTCTCCAGAGGATTATCATATTACAAACAGTACTCAATTTAAAAGCAGTGCAGTGTTATTGGTGCACAGCAGGACAGCTTCGACTCTCCAACTACGCTGGACGTGATCCGACCCCTCAAGAGCTGACCCTCCCTTAGCGCTTTCCGCTCGAGCCTTCTTTCCCTTCTCCTCTTTGCGCTTGCCACTCGAGCTGCAAACACCCTCAGAAGCAATTCATTCTAGCTTCCTCTGGGGTTTTTATTCGCATCTTTCTTCGAATGTATTTGTTGTACTGGCTAAATGTTTCTTCACCATTTAGGTGAGTTAGGTGGTTGTTCACACGTCACTCAATTCGTCATCACTGAGCAAGCTGCTAAGTTCCTCTGATGGTTAAAACTTTCCA